TGCTCTGCCCGAACAACTTGAAGCCAACCACTCGACTGACATATGCCAGGATTATTTCCTCCTCTTCCTTGACGGTTTTCCCTCCAGGTGAACGCTTAAAAGAATAAACAGAAACACAAATTAAGGCATTTCACACAAACGGAAATTAAACATTATTCATTCATTGATCTGACTACTAAATACGGATGAAAAATAAATCTGTACCACCTGCCTAGTTTTTGCTTGAAGCCTTGAACTCAAACCCATATCCACGATCAAGAACCCAAATTAACTTGGCTCAACTGTTCTTGACCCTTAAAATGGGAATTGTAGTCAAGTTTGGGGTTCGACTTCATCAGTAAATTGCAGTCAAGTAGTCTGAGAAATCAATGTCTGGATTCGTTTTATCTTGTGCCGGAAAGATGACAGCCGAAGACAATAAGTTCAGTGGGCCTAATTGGCAATTATATTCTCCAATCCCTAGCAGTGTTTTAATTTTGACCCATGCTTGCACCCATGAAATTTTTATTCTTCAATAGAGGTATAGTTTTAAATTTATTTTTTTGATGGAGTATTTATGCCAAATTAATGCCATATCATATTTTTTATTTTTTAATTTTTTAATGCATCTAAATTTTCACAAAAGAAATACAGGATAATTTTAAATTTGTCTAAATAATGGGTTTTTGCAAACAAGTTTAATTCTATGGAATGAAAGATTACCAGTGAAAAGCAATGAAAAGTAAGACAAAAAATACGACGGCATTATTAACTAAAATAAATGCTATTTTTTTTTTTTTTGACTTTTTTTCTCTCACAAATTTTATTCTCCAATCACGACACATAATAAACATGACAATAATCTGGGTGAATTTTCATTTATGTACTTAATTGCTTTTTTTTTTTTTCTACTTTGAATTTAAACTTTTAAACTCCTCATCCATGTATTTAACTTTTTTTTTTTTTGGATTCATTGTGTATTTATTATCATGGATAATTAGATATATTGTAAAAAAAAAGAGTGATTAACACACATGATTGACATGAGTTTTGCATGCAATCTATCATTCTAGTCTTTTTCAAGGTAAATGGCTTTATTAGTTTGTACTACCTCCTAGTGCTTGTAGTTATTCCTTAAAGAATATGTATATTGGTTTAGTAATCATTCTTAGGTGTTGTAAATATGCTTAATTATTAATGGTTAAATTCTTTTTGTTCTCGAGATTAAAATTATTTGATTCATGCCTTTGTTTGATGTTTTCAAGGTTTTCAAGATATCCAAGAAGATTCCTATTGAAAATTAGTGAACGGAATGATAATCAAGTAGCTTTAATGAGCTATTGTATTATTTTTTCTTTTTAAGACATGAGCCTGTTCATTTTGTAGTTTCATAAAAGTTTTATGATTTGACATGATTTGTTTAGAAGCAACAAGAACAAATATGATCTAAATTTTTTGAACTTACATAATTATCTACTTCCCATGAATCAACTACAAATATGTGTTTATTTCAAAGAAAATGTAGTCATTGTTTAGTAATAACTAAGCGTATTTACAGCACCCAAAAAATTAATTACTAAACCAATTCTTTATTGGGGAATAACTACAAACACATGTAGGTATGTACAAATTAATACAGTTATTTTCCTTTTTAATAGATTGCTTACAAAATTCACTTCACTCATGTTTGTTAATCACAAATTTCTTTACAATATATATATATATATATAATTATTCATGATTAATAAAAAAAAAACAAAAGTTTAATTTCCAATTGACAATGACTAAAAAAAAAAATAGACACATAGATGAAGAGCCCAAACCCAAAGAAAAGAAAAAAACAAGTAAGCACTTGATAAGAACTCATCATTTTTCCGTGTCTTGCTTTCCATTGCTTTTCATCAGAATATTTCATTCCCGTAGAATTAAACTTGTGGGCAAAAGCCATGATTTTATTTTACTTAGTAGCCTATATTTCTTTTATAAAAAATTTAGATGATTTTAAAAATTAAAAGTTAAAAATATGACATCTTCATTAAGGATTAAAGATTTTAAAAAATCTCTTTATAGGAAAAAAATTTCCATAACGGCTTTGTAACATTATCGACTTGCATGATCAGATCCAAAACATGAATACTAAACCAAGCACAAGTGCAAAACCACAGACGAAATTAAGGCCGGGAATGGACCGGAGTAATAAGGTAAGAAAAATCCTACTGGAGGTTTGAGCAACCACGCCAATCTTATTTCAAACTGTAGAGATTTTGGAAGAAAATGGTAATATAAGCAGGGGATATAGGGGGAGTGGTGGGTCAGGTATTTCCCGAGAAGAACACTGCTAGGGACTAATATCAGACTTCCTTGTCAACATAATTTCTTGCTCTTACCAGATATAATCAGGGTCCGGTCCACTCCCAGACTTGGTAATGATTTTCCCCCTCCTACTGCCAGGAATTTGAGTCTATAATATCAATGAATGGAGAAATGGGTATTTGATTTTGGTCACAAAGGACCACTTCTGATAATGATACAATTGAATAATTCAGAATTTTTTTAATGGCTTAAACATAAAATATTTTTTAATTAACATTAAATAATAATTTAAATTTCGATTTATTACAGTCAATTGATTCATCAAAATTTTATTTCATCTAATTAAACCTTCAAACATTTTATTTTCAATCAATTTAATTCTTAATTAGATAGAAATTGATGATAGTTATTAACCAATTTCCATTTAATTAAAGGTTAATTGGATAAAAATAAAAATATGAGAATTGAGTTATTTGTAATAAAATGATAGAAGCTTAAATGATTATTTAATTTTGGTTGAGTAATTTTTTTTATATATTTAAACTCTTTTTAATCTTATTTTTTGGATATAAAGATGTGTTTACTTTTGAGATTTATGTACATAGAAAAAAGAAAGAAAAAACACCTAAAGAGATTGAGGTGTAACTCTAAATTTCAACAATTAGTTAATATTTTGAAGTTCTTTTTATCATTAGAAAATCTTTATATTTGCCTATAAGTTTTAAATAAATTTGCTTCTAATTTAGTAGTAGTTTTTTTCTTTTATTAACAAGTGGTTTCAGAGTTATTTGAGATGTTCAGTAATCAATTATCAATATATAATAATTTTTTTATATCTCTTCCATCTAAATTTAAATATGATGCATGAAATGTAGAAGTATATGATAGAATTGATAGATAATTAAGTCAGATGTTTATACAAACAAAAAGGTCTTTCTATTAGGATATTGAAATATATATGATAAATTTTGTTATGGTTCTTAAATTTTTATTCTAATTTCATTTAATCTCTTAACTTTTGAATTATTCAATTTGAATTATTCAATTTGAGTTTTTAAATTTTAAAATGATTTTTTTTCTATTTTTGTTGAGTTATTTTGATAACAATTGAGAGAAAAACATTAATGAGAAATGCAAAGTGAATGTTCACAGAACGTGCCATGTAATTTACAACATGAACATTACGTTGTAAATTGTAATAATTTGATGTAATAATTGGATGAAAGAATTAATATAAAGTTATTTTTAAAAAATTAGGCTAAAATAAAACAAAATTGAAATAAAAAAATAAGGACTATTAATGAAATTTACCCAAAAATAAATAGGGTGTTCTAAATACACAATCAAATTTTCTCTATACACCTCTAAAATTTTCTTTCAAAAATACTCACATATCAAATATAAATTTTAATCTTCAGTAAAGATAAAAATACCCTAAATAGCTTACACATCCAAAACCCACATTGTATTTTTCAACAATGAATTTTCAAGAGTTATATTATATTCTAAAAAATTTATTTTTGAAAAAATAATATAATTTTCAAAAATAAATTATCAAAAACAAAACACAAGTGTCGAAAAATTTATTTATGATAATTATATTATTTTCTTAAAAAATTTTTGAGATTTGTCATGTGCTCTTGAAAATCCGTTTTCAATAATTCATTTTCGATAATATATATTTTAAAAATATATATTTAATTATAAACTTTTAATAAAAGAAAAATTATGATCTCCAATTTTTGTGCTATTGAAAAATATCATTAATAGACTAGTAAATTCGATAGTAAGAATTTGTGACCTAAAGATTAAATATTCTCAAATTTGTCAATTTGCCAATGATATTGTTAGCGACAATATTCTATAAAGTGTTTAAGCTCAGATTAGCATATGTGCACGTATATGAGTTTTTAATGTGTCCATTTTTATTTGATTTAATGTACGAATGAAAGAGATCAAGTTCTCAAACATGCATGAAATAAAAATATTTTTATCTTGAGGTCAAAAAATAATTTCAATTTATTTCATGCATATTGAGAATATTGATATCAATTTTATTTGCACACATAATCAAGTAAATGGTTCATAAGTGCATAATTAAAGTTTTTCATTAAAAATAAAATTAAACTTCTCAAATATAGAGATATAAAAAATTTCAAAATTTTTCTATTTTCAAAAGCTTTTAGGTTTTTTCGAAAATGAATATTCGAAAAATTTTTAGATTTTTCAAAAATAAATATCCAATAAATTTTGAAACTTTTCGAAATGTATATTTAATAATTTTTAAAGTTTTTTGGGTATCATTTTTTAAAAGTTTTAAAAATTTTTGGATATTTATTTTTAAGAAATTAAATTTCTAAAAGTGAAAAGAGAAAAAGGATATGAATGAAAAATAAAAAATGAGAGTTGAGATGTATTAAATAAAAATAGAAAAATGAATTTTGAGTTCGAGATATTTTTAAATGTGAGAGATATATATATATATATATATATCATTAAATGGGCATATTTAAAATTTTCAAAATAAATATCAATAAAATAACTTTTATCTTTTTTAAGTATAAAGATTAAAATGATATAAAACAAGAATAAAATTTTAAAGATTGCGGTTTTTCATTTAATTGAATAATAAATGTATTTTTTTAAAATTATTTTTCTTTATAAAAAAAAAATTATGATTTAAACTAATTTTATGTTTTGAATTTTTTTCTTTTTACAAAAAAGTGAACATGTGTAGATGTACAGCAATGTTCACCGGGGAACGGCGGTGGCCACTTTTTGTCACGGGTCCGCCGGCGACTGATTTCCTTCAAAAAGATATCGAACATGACACTATCCAACCACAACAAGCCACGTTATCCTGAACCGTAGAAAAATGTGTTCGCCGTTTGCAACGTGTCCCGCATCCTGTGGTCCCACGATTATTAAATATTAAACAGAGAATTCGTGGCTGAAACAATCGCAAAGGAGAGCTCCAGCTCCTTCTTCTTCTGTCCTGATCCTCGATCGCTCGAAGATTCTGCGCCATGGCTTCACCATCTGCTTACAGATGGCCATGGAACTCTGCTTCAACTAATTCCTCAATTAATCTGGCTAATTTTCCTTCTACTTCCTCTATTTTCTTTACGTTTCGTTTTAAACGGCTTCGGTTCGCCGCCTTTTCTTTACGCGATTCTTCTTCTGTTTCTTCATCTGATTCTCAAAGCAAGTCTGTGCATGCACGCGTTTCCAGTTCAAAACCCATTATCATCGCTGATTATGGTGAAAACAATGTCGTTTTGGCACCTTCTCCGAAGAAGCCAGAAACCCTAAATTTTGAGTTTCTGTTTGGGAAGCGATACTTGTGGAAGAGGATATTGTTTGCTTCGAAGAAAGTTAGGAGCATTATTTTGCTTAATGTCGTCACTCTCATTTATGGTTAGATTTTTCTTTCATTTCATTTCATTTCCTTTATTTTTTGTTTTTATTAAATCTTTTGTTGCGAATTTACAGTAATACACCAAAATTGTTACAATTGTTTGATTATAGTTTCCTTTGGTTATCAGTAAAATGCAAAATTTTGAGGAATTAAAATTCCAAATTGCTAGAAGCAAGTTGGAACAGAGCAAACCTGAGCCTATGTAACTTAGCGGTGGAATTATGTTTAATTCACTGGCAAATGACAGTTGGCAACTTTTTGCTTTAGAGTTTGCAAAGTTGATTAATCTATTGCGTAAAACTGATAATGGAGCCAGCCTTTAGACAAGGCTGGTCAATCCATTTAAGTTGTGAGTGGGACTCGTGAATAGATGATTCAAAACTTGTTCTTGAGTTTGTTTTACTGTTCATTTATTAAGAGCCCACTTAAGGTGGATAAAAATAAACATTATAGTAACTAAATGTTTTTGAAGGATATTTTCCCTTTGTGTTTGTTAGATTTTTTTTAATTTCATTTAACTTGTGGTTTTAGAGTTTTTGCATTAATAGATTTGGGATGTAAATGTGTTTTGGTAGAATTTTTTCTTTTGATGACATAAATGTAGGAAACAAAAAGTTTCATTTGAAGCAAAGCGTTAAAAGTTTACCTTTTATTGGAAGGAAAATTTTTGCTTTCTGATATGCAATAACGAATCTCTTAAGTTTCAAACTAAACCAAGCAAAAAAGCGAAAATCAAAAGTTGTTGCCATACAATTCCTTAGATTTAGTTGTATGACTTAATAATTACACTGGTGTGATTGCTTGCAAAATTCAAGGACTTGCAGAGGAATAGTATCCTTGATGCACTTAGTTTGAGTACCAGCTGTTCAATTTTTGGGTCACATATTATTATTGAAATTCTTTTTTCCTTTGGTACAAGAGAGAGCAGTACGGCTCAAACCTAAGATTTCTACTTACCACTTAAGCTAAGCTCAAGTGGCTATTGAAACTTCTTTCAATGATAACCTAAGTGGGTCTGCAAAAACTTTTGAAATAGGATGCTGTCATGTGTTAAGCTTTTAGAAGACATGTTGAGTTGATTATTGAACCATATTTTTGGCAATATGAGTAAGAGTAACTAAATAATTGCTTACTGTCTAAACTCATTCCTGAATCTGGTTTACTTTCGTCTTGTAGCTAGTGATATTCCTGTTATAAAAGAGGTTGAAGCTATCATGGATCCATCAGCCTTCACGGTTGTGCGATTTATAGTGTCAGCAATACCATTCATCCCATTTGTAGTGCGAGCACGAAGTGATGTTTGCACCCGCAATGCAGGGATGGAATTGGGTATTTGGGTCAGTTTGGGATACTTAACACAGGCACTTGGACTATTAACCTCTGATGCTGGGCGTGCATCATTCTTATCTATGTTCACTGTAAGTTTCCTGAGTCCATTCTATATACATCAAAGGAAGTTGCCTGCTCTATTGGAGCACCTAAAGGTGCAATTTGGTATATTGTGGGTGAATTTTTCAGGTAATTGTGGTTCCCTTGCTTGATGGTATGTTAGGAGCTGTAGTTCCTGCCCTTACGTGGTTCGGTGCTCTTATGTCTGTCCTGGGAGTTGCAATGTTGGAATCCAGTGGCTCTCCTCCATGTGTTAGTGCTCATTTATGTTTATTATCTGTTTCTTCTTTCATTCTGCTTATCTTTGGATGGGTGACGCAAGATACAACTATATTTTGAGTTGTGTATATTATACTATATGGTTGTTTGACCTACCTTATTTATTTTGTTAAACATTAAAAAAATAATTTTACAGGTTGGAGATTTGTTGAACTTCTTAAGTGCAGTATTTTTTGGTGTCCATATGCTAAGAACTGAGCATATTTCAAGAAGCACTAATAAAGAGAACTTCTTACCCCTCCTTGGATATGAGGTCTGAATGTTTTTTATATGTATGTTAAACATTTTAAATAATGCAATTTGTTTATCTTTGTACATGGTTTGAAAATCTTGAAGGCCCATTTAGGTATGCATTGTTGCTCTTTTGTCAACTCTTTGGTACTTTCTTGGAGGCTGGCTTGACGGAAGCTTGGAGTTCAACCCATCATCTTGGTCTTGGGCAATATCTTGGGATTCAATGTTAACATTTCCATGGATACCTGCACTTTATACAGGCATTTTCTCTACTGGATTGTGCTTATGGGTGGAGGTAAGTCTCTTAGCTTTTAGCTCTGACAGAAGAGCCACCATTTCTAACTACGTATTATGTTTCTGCAACTGCACTCAGTGGAACCTCATTGTGTTAACAACTGGCTATGCAACATCTTCCTACCATCCACTGTTGTTTTTGTTGATTGATAAGCATTGTGTTTTTTTATCAAACTACTGCAACTTACAATCTTTTTGCCTTGGTCCCTGGATCATATTCCTGCCTATGTGCATTTGTTGATCATCATTATACATGCTAAAGCCCCTATTAGTTTTACTTATTATTATTATGTCTATTTTTATGTTTAATTTTATGTTTGTTGTTGTTGTTGACTTGTTGTATTTATCATTATAAGTTTGATGACTGTATCTGGTTTTAAGTCTACCCTTTGTAAATAACCCACACCTTTCTTTCCTTTCAGTTCATCAACTAAATGTTTGCATGGTTTTCTCACTAAAGTAACTTCATTCAATTACTCAAAAACATTCATATAGATGCTGTGAGCTTGGTGCATCTCATAATTTAGGTCAAGCGATAAATATCTTATTGGGATGTTGTTCGAACTTCCAATTTTTTGGTATGAAGTAACGCACAACTTTCATCATAGCTGCTGACTAGCTGTTTGTTTTGGTGTACTCCAAATGGGGAATCATCACAACCTGAGTTTACTTGAACTGTTGTATGGTTCAATTGCCCTAGCATTTTGAACTTTTGTGTGCTTATTTATAGAAGTGACGAATTTAGTCAAAAAGGGTTGAAAAGTAACTTTAAATGCATCATTATAAGCTTTTAGCTGAGAATCCTAAATGCAAAAAAGGCATTTTCTACTTGCATGATAGTTTAGCTTTATACCTTTTCTTTTCTTCCTCACATGATACAATTATACAGCCTCCATTTATCCACTGTTTTTGTGATAAAATATTGAAACATCATTTCTCTTAACCATCATAGTCTTGCAGATGGCTGCCATGCGTGATGTATCAGCCACAGAAACAGCTATAATTTATGGGTTGGAGCCTGTTTGGGGTGCTGGTTTTGCATGGCTTCTCCTTGGTGAGAGATGGGGTGTCACTGGTTGGATTGGAGCTGCCCTTGTGCTAGGTAATGTAACTGATATCATCTGGTCACTGATCCTTTTCTATTTCCTATTTTTGGAATACCTACCTTAGTGGAGGCTAGTTTATAATCTAATCTGGAAGCGACACTGTTGTGCAAAGAGATCTGTTTTTCAGAATTTCAATATTGGTTTAGGTTCTTGAGTACAGATTAAGGCAAAGTGGAGAAATGGGGGAGGATGGAAGGAAGTGACCGTAAAAGTGGAAAGAAAATGATTTTGAGTCATGCTTGATAAGCAAGCAAATTGAGAGAAAAAAAGGAAAGATCGCCATTTTCCATCTATTTTTAACAAAAACCAGGGGAGAGAAAATAGGGGAGATATGTTAGATTGTGGGTTATGTCTTGTGAATTTGCAGTATTGTCCATCTTTTTTTTTTTGAAGTTATACTTTGTCTCCACATGCAAAGGATATAATGGGTAAAATCATGTTATTTTTATTTTCTTTCCTCTCACTTTTCATCCACTTTGCCATCTTTCCTACCATGAAATAGCAGTGGAAAGATAAGATGTTAGCTTAGACTCATTAGTTTACTTGTAAATTCAATAGGGCTTATGTTATCAAGTTAGGCATCTTGCAAGTTTAAGTTGTCAAGCTTGGGAACTCGGAAGCTAGACGCATAGCTTGTGAAGCTTGGCAAATTTCAAGCTTAGAGTCTCAAGCTTGCCTTCCTTTAAATTCAGTAGAGCTTAGGTTGTCTAGCTTGAGCTTTTTGAAAAAGATCATTAGGTATAAACTGAAGAAATAATTTTGTAAGGAATACATCAAACTCTTAATAACTTTGGTAGTGTGGATTTTACCGAACCAAATAATAAACTTTTATTTGGTGTTTAGAAGTTAAGCAAGCAAAGTAAACAAAAGGTTTAACATTGTCAAGTAAAAAGACTCTATGTCATCCTTTACCAAACAAACAAGAAAAGAAGTTTTGTCTTGTCCTAAATGTAGGAAGACAAGTAAGCAAGCATGGTAACTTGGGAGGGAAGCATAGTCAGTCCAGCTAAGCCTAGGCTTTGTATAAGTTTTTAGGCTTGATTACTCAGGCTTTACTGAATTGACAGGTAGGCAAGCTTGCAAGTTGTTAGGCTTGACAACTATGGAGTTTGTATGTATGTAAACCTGGAAGCCTAAGTCTTTCTTGGCTAAAGTTTGCTAGTTTTCAAGTTTGACACTTAACACTTTATCGAATTTATTGGTAGGTAAGCTTGACACTCAAAGCTTGACAACCTAAGTCTTGAGCTTACAAGGTGCCAAGCTTGACAACCTAAGTTTTAAGCTTGTAAGGTGCCAAACTTGATAATCTAGGCTCCATTGAAGTTACAGTTAGGCAAGACTGAAAGTTTAAGTTAGCATAATGACAAGCTTGACAACTAAGTTACTAGGCTTGCAAATTACCAAACTTGACAACATGAATCTTGAACTTGCAAGTTACCAAAGCTTGATAACCTAAGTTTTGCTGAACTTACAAGTAGGTGAGCTTAAGAGTCTAAACTTGCCTTAATTAAACTTTTTAATTAGTTTGTGCTTTACAAGTTCAAGTATCACATAAGCAAAGTAAGCCGTACAAGTTTAGGTTGAGTTGATGGCCTAAGAGAATACTAAACTAATAAAATCAGGGCCAAGCTAGGAAAGCTAAACTTGAGACTTTAAACTTTAAAGTTAGGGCATTAGCTAGATGCTAGGCATGTTAACATTGTTGCTCTTCTTGTGTTTATTTAAAGTTAGTTGATCATGGGCGGCTATGAACTCCCATTAAGCATTTTCAAAATAATGGAGTGCCCAGCTTGAGAGATAGATGTGGCAAGAACTAAGAAGAGTGTTCAACCTTGTATTAATACACGTTGAGATTGTCAAGCTTGACAACTTAACAAATTTCAATCAAGATAAGCTTAAACTCTTAAGTTTCTCAACCTGAAAGCTTAGTTAGGCTTAAGCTTAAACTTAGTTCACCAGCTGTAAACTTAAAATTCTTGATTATCTCTCATCTTGGTTGTGGATTGAACCAAGTGATCAAATACTTGCTGGAGTTTTGACATACTTGTTCTCTACCGAATCATTTGCCTTGACTTTTACCAAAATATTTTACTCATCAAGTTTAACTTGTTTTTACCAAGCCTTTGCATTTTTATTTACTTGATATAATTCTTTCCTGCGTAGGCGGAAGCTTAACAGTGCAGATATTTGGATCATCATCCCCTGCTAAGTCGTGTGAAGAAAAGAGAAGTAGAAAAGTAGATCATGTAATAATTTCGGAAAAGCAAAATGGTTTTTCTGCCTCTCCAGTGATCATTAGTTCCAGGAAGGATATGCCGAAGCATTTCAAGAAGTAAGCCGCAGCTTGTCTTGTTTCTTCTCAAAATCAATGTGATGTAGTTGTACGAGCATACAGCATTGAATGACGCCTAGTTTTGAGCAGTCATGTGAGGCCTGATGCTTATTGCCTAATGTATGTATGCATTTATTTGTTTTTGGTACATAATGTATGTATATATGTTTTCATAGATTTATAGTATATATAGATAGCATGGAAGTTATGCAAATACATATATATATATATATATATATGTAGCACTGAAGTTCTCAAAATTAATGATATATATATATATATTATAGTGGAAAATTATCTTATCCAGAAATTTCGGATTTTACCAAACGGGATTAGGGTTACAGCATGCAATTTTAGGATATATTAGAAAAAAATAAAAAATATATAAATAAAGCGACGTAAAACATTTTAACTGCATGTTTGTGGGTTAGAAATGTTACTGATAATTTATAAAATAAAAAGAACATACAACCCCTTCAAATTTATGGACTCTCATTTTTGGCCAATGAAAAAATTTGCAAACGCGAAAATCGAAGCATCTACTGTTTGTTCTACTATTTTCATCTTGTATCTTCCAATCATAGATTTGCGGGGACATAGCAGAAAAGTGATCGACGTGCATATATTATCGCCACTTACTTTTGGCGAGCTTTGATAGGACATTAAATAACGTTGCTTGGAGCGATCTAACAGCGACTGAAATTGATAAATGGTTACTCTTGGTGAATCATGTGTCAGGTGAGTAGGGGGCATTGAGATTTAGAATGCAATGGGGGACATATCGGTTGGTGCCCTGGTGGGATCCCGCAGATTTAGAATGCAATAGGGGTCGAAATATAATATTAAAGAATTGCAACAAATGTTTATAAGTCTTTAAATTTTAGTCAATTTTCATAATTTTTAATAATTAGTAAGTAGTGCGATTCATAACATGGTTTCACTTTTTGAAATAAAATGTTATTATTTTCCTTTTTTTTAAAGATTTCGCTGACGTGTATTCTCAAAGCATTCTTTAGAGTAATTATTATATATAGTAATTTCTCTTAATACATTAAATTATAAATAAAGTTGTCAATTATTATATTTAATACAAAATTATTATTATAAATAGTTTATTATTTGATCTTAAAGAATATCCGAATTACGACATTAGTCATCAAAAACTTTTGTTTTATATGAAATTGAGAAGAAGGAAAAGCTTTGGCTCTTATACTTTTCTCGTCAACTTAAAATAAAATAAACATATAATTTTGGTATTTTCTATGTCATTAACATGTTAAGGAAGCTAAAACATTAGAGCAACTAGAGAGAAAAAAAAAGGAAAGTAAGGAGAAAGAGATGCAAGAATAGGGGAAATTTTTTTCTGCTTGTAAATTGTAATCGTCCATAAACGATTATTTTGGTGCATTAAACAAAGCCGAAGGGGAAAGAGAATTCTATATCTGAAGTGTGTAAACCTTTCAAACCTTAATTTTAAATTAAATTAAGTTTTATTACCTTCATGCACTTCAACATTGTGTATTTAAATATTAATAATTGCTTAAATAATATGGTAGAAAGTTATATTTTTGTATTATTATTACTTAAGTTTTATCTGTATTAGATTGATATAATTCAAAATTTGATATAAACTGTTGTATGTTTGTTAGATTGTTAAATCATTTTAATGTTTGTGGGTTTATAATAATTTCGGTACTTTGTAATTTAATTACAATTGGATGGTTAGATGAATTAAATATAAACTCATTTTCTATATATATAAAAGGATAAGCATGATGCCTTCCTCCAACTAAAACTCGCCGGCAGCATTCATCGTCTGTACCTTATTGGATTGATCACAGTCAAAGTTCCAAAAAACTTGTAAGCAAAAACATGGCTCTAACAGGCAAACTAAAAGCTGAAGTAGAGGTCAAAGCCCCTGCCGACAAGTTCTTCAGCATCGTCAGGAGTGAAAGTCATCAAATACCAAATGCTACATCTGACAAAATACACAATGTTGAAATGCATGAAGGTGATTGGGAGGCTGATGGCTCTATCAAGCTCGGGAAATATACCGTTGGTAAGAAAACATTGATCCAACCGTTTTTAAATACGAAACAAGTTGAACATATATTATATATTGATTTCCTAGTTTTTAGTTCAGTCCTTTTACATTGAACCCTTTTCTTTAATTTGTGTCAATTGATCTTATGTACCATTGTTTTTCTTAAGTGTTTTTCTTTTATCTGAGATTTGCCTCTGCTACCCATAAATCTTAAAGGTCTGAGTCTGAGTATAACTTATAAATAATCTATGTAGATACTCCATTTTGTCTAGGATTTGATTCTATTGTTTCTATTGTTTTTTGTTAATTTAAAAAAAAATGAAAAAGGAAAAATCAGGGGTGATTGAGTTTGTCTAGGATTGCTTCTTTTGGGATTGTGAAGTTTAGGTTAAAATCAAAACTTGCAGTTGGAATTGAAGTGAAATTAAAATCTTTTTTTATTTATGGTTCTCATAATTTAAACCCTATAAATATGAACCCAGATTCAATAAAAAAAAACAACAAGAATTAGCAAAGAAAGAAAAACAATGAATTAGCAGAGGAAGCAATAGGCAGAAAAATCTGAAGGCAAGAAAAGTAAGAAGAATTGTAAGGAAAAATATAGGCAGCATTGTTTAGGATTGGGGGAAGAGTTGTCATTTAGATTATAGCAATTAAGAGAGCTAGGAAAAACAAAAAAATAAGGGGGATTTATTTTTTTTTTTCTGTTTTTGGGAATCTGGGGAAAATTTAGGGATATCTAAGAAAATCTGAGAAAAATCTGGGTTTCTTGAAGATTTCGGCGACCAAGTTTGAGTTTTTCGACAATTTTGGGTTGGATTTTGCATTTATTCACCGTGATTTGGGTTTTGTTGAATTTATCGGTCGATTTCAATAGCTTTTTAAAGTGAGAAACAGAGAAAAGAAAGGGAGGAGAGAGAGTGGGTAGGGGAAATTTGAGGAAATAAAAAATTTGGGCTTTTATAGTTATTCTATATGATGCCATTTCAACTGTTAAAACAAAAAAGGGTTCCAAGCATTTTCAACTGGATAGTCTGCTCGTGCCACGCCCGACCTGCGTGCCTGAAACTGGTTCCTTGTTGAGCCACCGAGCCAAGCTGAGCCTAAAGCCGTGCCTCTTGAGCCATCCCTTTTGTGCCTTGAGTCGCATCCTGTGAGCCGCCCAAGCTGAGCCGTTTTCCTGGTATTTTTATTTTTATTTATTTATTTATCTTTTGTTTAATTATTTATTTACCTGTTTAGTTGTTTTTTATCTATGTTTTTTATTATTTTATTTATTTGTTTATCTATAAATATTAAAAAAAATAATAATTATTTTAAATAAAATAAAAAATCTTATTAACATATCGAAAGATAAATTTTTAAAATAAAGTTTTACAATATATTAAAAAACTTTATGCTTCTTTTGGGATTGTAAAGTTTAAGTTAAAATTAAAAGTTGAAGTTGGAATTGAAGTGAAATAAAAATTTTTTTAATTTAGTCTTTTTATAATTTAAACCTTATAAATATGAACCCAGATTCAACATAAAAAAAAGTAATAAGAATTAGTAGAGAAAAAAAAACAAAAAATTAGTAGAGGAAGTAATAGGCATAAAAATTTGAAGGCAAAAAAAGTTAGAAGAATTGTAAGAAAAAAATATGGGTAGCATTGTTTAGGATTGAGGGAAAAGTTGTCATTTAGATTATAGGAATTAAGAGAGTTGGGAAAGAAAAAAAGGGATTTAGTTTAGTTTAGTTTTTTTTTTTTTGTTTTTGGGTATCTGGGGAAAATCTAGGAAAATCTGAGAAAATCTAGAAAATATATGAGTTTTTGAACATTTCGACGACCAAGTTTGAGTTTTTTAGAGACTTTCAGTCAGAATTTGCATTTATTCACCATGATCTAGGTTTTGTTGAATTTAGCTATCGACATTCAACAACGTTTTAGAGAGAGACAGAGAAAAGAAAGGAGAGAGAGAGAATAGGCAGAGGATATTTGAGGACATAAAAAAATTTTGGGTTTTTATAGTTAATCTATACGACGCTGTTTCAACTGTTAAAACAAAAAAGTGATTCATGCATTTTCAACTGAATAGTCCGCCTATGCAACGCCCGACTCGTGTGCCTAAAGATGGTTCCCTGTTGAGCCAACAGAGCCGCTGAGCCAAGCTGAGTGTAGAGCTATGCCTCTCGAGCCGTCCCTTTTGTGTCTTGAGCCGCATCTTGTGAGCTGCCCAAGCTGAGCCATTTTTCTTGTATTTCTATTTCTATTTTTTTCTTATTTATTTATTTGTTTATTTTATGTTTAATTATTTATTTATCTGTTTAGTTGTTCTTCATCTATTATTTTATTTATTTGTTTACCTGTAAATAATTTTTTAAAAAATAGAAAAAATTATTTTAAATAAAATAAAAAATCTTACCAACATATTGGAAGGTAATTTTTTAAAATAAGGTTTTACCTGTATGTTGAAAAACTTTATGATTTTTAAATAAAAATTAATTTTTAGAAAAGAAATAATGTTCATAAAATCCTATCAACATATTGGAGAATAATTTCTAGCAAAAAATTTTACTAACATACTAAAGGATATTTTTGAAAATAAAGAGTCTTTTTACAAAGTTAGAATTTGAATATTTAATGATGGAATTACTAAAAGCGTTGTAAATAACAATTTTTATGTAAATTCTTAAGAGATATTTTTTAAATTTTACTAACATATTGAAGAATTTAAATAGGAATTTTTTATATCAAGATTCTAAATCTAATTTGATTATCACACTCAATTTTTTTTTTTTTAAATTAAATAAATCAACTACAAAACCTCTCCAAAGTATGACAAATAGTTTCATTGAATACTCTTAAGGTGAAGGGATATTCTTAAATTATTACCAACATATTAAAGTAATTAGGAATAATTTTTCATATTAAATTACTTGATAAGTTTTTTAGGCTTTTGGATAATATGAAATTAAATTGGTACCATCTTTTAGGTGGACAATACGGAAGTGTTATAATTTTTTTCATACGTAATCGTATGCTCGAATTTAGTTTTGATTTTGTAGACATGAATTTATTAAGTGATTAATCGCACATAAATAAAAAAATTGATGACAACTCTTCTTATTAAGTTTAGTTATAAATTTACAGATTTATACGTTATGACAATCTACAAAAAGAAAAGTCAAGATTTTGAAGGAAAAAGATTCGGGTGGACAATGCAAACAATTGCATAACTTCAATTGCCTTGGAAGTATCACATCTTCTGGAACAATTTAAGAGCTACAAGATAGTTTATAGCGTTTTACCTAAGAGTGACGAGAGCAGCTTGGTGAAAATTGGAGTGGAATATAAGAAACTTAACGAGAATATCCCTGATCCAAATAAGTACCTGCAGTTTGTGGTGAATGTCACCAAAGACATTGAAGCGCACCTTCTCCAAGGCATAGTGAAATTCAAGGAAATGCTCTACTTTCTCCTTTAGTCCTTTAAAATAAGAGCTCTGGATTTAGTGTCCAGTTGCATTAATAATCATCTTGCTGTCTCCTCTCAAAGAGAATATATTTCTGGGTTTCATCACTTTGTCTAGTAGCATGTCTCAATGTTTCATCACTATTTTATGTAAGTGTGTTAATAAGTTCTTGTATTATTTCGCCGTGTAATGGACTCAAGTTCCTAATAATAGCTAGTTTGGCTTCGTTTGTATTTGTACCCCAAACTAATTGACCAAAAAACCGTCAGGGAAAAAATAAAGCTAAAATGAATCAATTTAGTTCAATTGATTCATGTTCGGGGGCAGTTGGTAATAATAGCCAAGAGGGGGCCTTGGCCCTCCCAAAAATTTTGAAACACCTAATATCATATATATATATTTATATTAAATAAATTTTAATTTTAATTTATAATCAAATGAATTTAACAAAAGTTAAATTAATTTTTCAACTTTCTCATCAAGATTAAAGTTTATAATCAATAAGTACCGAATGTGTTTTTCCTTTTTTTTTTTTAGTACAAATGAGGTCAAAGTTTAGGAGATTTAACTGAAGGAAAATGGAGATTTAGCTTACTACAATTCCTTTTCTCCATATATATTTTTTAGTTTTATTTTTACTTTAAAATCTCTATTACATGTTATTATAATTCCTTTTCCAACAAATAAATCATATTGAAACTATTTTATAAAAGGACAGAAAACACTAAACTCCTAGTATCAAAATTTTATTTTTATTTCAAAAAAAATTAATTTTCTTGTTTTGATAAAATGTTTAAATATGATTGATTTATTCATACATTTTTATTTCAATTTTAACTTGTTAAAAAATTAAAAAAACTCCCATAATTTTTTGATAGATTGTGTAATTAATTATTCAACGATTAATTATAAATCATGTTATTGTTAAAAGTATAATGTTATTGTAATAATATTTGTGTTTTATAATTTTATGAGCTTATTTTTTTCTATTAGGATATTGTTTGCATATATATATATATATATATATATAAGTATGATAAAATATCCTTAGGCAAAAAAAAGTACATTATATATTATTAATTGATCTCTTCAAAATTATATGTCAAGATCTGATATTGTTTATGTTATCACTTTTATAAAGTAATATTCAACAAGTTTAAGCATTGAGAAATCCAACACCTAACCTCCTTTGCAAAAAAAATATTAAAAATAAAGCTACGGCATCTCTAGGAACACTTTAGTAGATAATTAAGTTACAAAAAAGCTTCAGGATATGTACTCAAAAGCTCAATCCCTTCAAAATGAGAATCCTTTAAAACTAAAGAGTTCTATATATTATGTGAGTAATAATTTTTAAATGACATGTCATATATATTTACATTTAGCGTTAGGAGTAGAAATGATCGTATTCGAATGTATTAGTGTTAGAAAGAAACAACAAACAACTGAACATGAATATATATGAAGATAATTCGTCAAGCTTTTATTTGGATTTAGACATTAATTCCGGCTCAACTCGGTGATATTGTTAACTGCATTTGAGAAAAAGGACTTTCAATTTAGATCCATTTCGGCAAGTTGGCATGGACCACTGGAAGAATCTAATCTATTAGCTTTGATAAGAACTGACGCCACTGGATGCAAATTATTAATTGCTGAATATCCTGGCCATGGAAGAATATTGGTTTTGATGCTCTCTCCTTTTATATAAGGCCATTGATGCACCTATATCTCCCATATTCATTTCTAGTTTCTTGTATTTTAGTAGAAAAAAAAATGGCTCAGATTCAAAAAATTGAGGTCCAAACGGAGGTTAGGTCCTCTGCTGATAAGGTTTACGATATTTTCAAGCGCAGAATGTACCTTTTGCCGAAAATCTGCCCTGATCTGGTGAAAGATATAAGTTGCTCAGGGTGACTGGGAGACTGTGGAAAGATGTTGCTGGTAAACCAATGATATATCCCTACTAATTTGATTGACTATTTTTGTCTTTTCATTTTTAATCATTTGTAAAAAGAAAAAAAGCATAAGTATTAATCAGACGAGGTTAAACAAGTTAACAGAAATCTTCAATGTTGATGATCTATTTGCAACAACTGAATCAACAACTAACTGATGATTTTGGGCTCGACTGCCCCTCTTCTAGGAATTTCTGAGAATGTCTCGGAGACCATAGAAGCTGTTGATGATCGAAACAAGTCAGTCACTTGCAACGCATTGGATGGTAATGTGGCGAAATATTACAAGACTTTCAAGGGCACTGTTATTGTTACGGCTAGTGGTCAGGGAAGCTTGGTGAAATGGACTTTGATATACGAAAAGCAAAACCAGAACGTCCCTGATCCTAAGAAATACTTGGAGTTTACCACCCTGTAACCATGGCTGTGGATGCTTACCTTCTCAAACAATAGGAGAAGATGTCAGCAAAAACTGCTCTGTCTTAGCTTTTAAATGTAATTCTATGTTTGTAGTCAGTTAAAATTCTGCATATCATGTAATCAAATATGGCTAGCTGATGAAATTTCATAGCAAAGCTATATATGCTCTTTGTTGGGAAAAACAACAATACCACGCGCAGCAACCACACACAAAATAACAAGCTCAAATCAAGAATAAGAAAACATAAATATATTTGGTTCAGCCCAACTCAAAATGGCCTACTCCAAATCTAATCCACTATCAAATAAATCTTTACAATTGTGAGACTTTTAGAATGAGAAAAGTCTCCTAAAACTCTTTACTTAAAACTTAACCCAAAACCCAATTACACCCTTTAATAGCCTACTCACTTAGCTATTCTCTTGGTGTCTAACTCTCTGGGGTTACTAAACTAAAGCCAAAACATCTTATTTATAAGGGTTTCACCCTTTATACTTTTACTAAACTTTCGATGTGGGATACAAGACAAACTCAAATTTACTTAACTTTTGATGTGGGATTCTGAGATTCAAAGCAAATCTCAACAAATCCTCCCTTGACTTGAATCTCCAAACACTTCAACAGTATCTGCAAAGCTAACATGCTTACCTTTCTTCTTTTCTTTCATCACAGGCATTCCAGCAACTGAGCCTCCATCAAACATGTACAAGTGATTGACCCTATTCCCTTGTAGGATCACACTATCATTCTTATACACTTTCAACCAATCATTACTACCATAAAATGTGTACCCCGAGAAGCTAACTCACCCAAAGCAATCAAATTGTAGTGACAATTTGGTACATACCTTACATGACGAAGTGTCCTAATAACACCATTGTGAGATCTAAGGCGAACACTCCCAATGCCTTGAATCTGCACCTTTTCTTTGTTAGCAACCACAATATCCCCATACTTTTCATTCTCATTCAACTCTACAAAGCAGCTCCTATCATTGCAAACATGAACTGTAACAGCTGAATCTAAAACCCAACCTTTATTACTTTTCAAAGTTTGGGTCTCATCCACACAAGTTGTCAAAACAACATCATCATCATCAGACACGACAGCAGCAGTATCACTCTTTTCTTCATCTGATTTCTTCTCATCATTCGCCCTTTTGAAAGCAGCTATATCCCTTCTCAGCTTCCTGCAGCGCACTTGGATATATCCCTTCTCACCACAATAATAACATTCTACATCACTGTAATCTCTGTCTCTTGACTTAGATCTCCATCTTGATCCATCAATCCTCTTTTGAGTCTTCCCTCGATCAAAACCCTCTACAGCTAGTGTACTCCCCCCAGGTGATGAGTTCTGAGCTCCCATAAACCTTTCATTCTCACGCAACAGGGCAGTCACATCATCCAACTTCAAAGTAGACCTGCCTACCAACACAGTCTGAACTAAAGGCCTATAAGACTTGGGCAAAGATGACAGCAAAATTATAGGTAGGTGCAAAAATCTCTTTCTTAAAAAATAGATTCAAATCTCTTTCTAAAATTAAAAAACAATATGTTGTTACAGTACTGGTTCTTCTTTGTTCATGTATCCATATAAATGCACTACTGAAATTCCATGTACAGGTTTACTATCTGTAACTTTTCTGCATATGCATGCAACACTTGTTGTGTGATCATTGAGTTTCATTTGGAAAAAGTTAAATGTTGGTACGGAATTGCAATACCAAGGGTTTTAAATTTATGAATTGCTATATTTTCTCAATTTTAATCTTAAAAGTTAAGAATTCAATATTCACAAAAGACACCAAGCCAACAATCCTGTTTAATTTGTCTATTTTCTTTGAAGATATCCTCATCATCCCACGGTCTAGAAAGCTCCTTACACATCCAAGAAATAGCCATTTTGCAGACTAATACAATAACAAGGTTCTTTTCTTAAAACCCAAGAAGATATTTAAAACAACTCCGAAACTGTTTCGTATAGCTAACAACCATATTTTGATACCGAAGGCCTTTCACTTTTACATCCTTTTTCGGTAATTTGGCTTCTTTGAAACCCTACTGGAATTATCCAATAAATTTGATCTATGGCAGAAGCTTGCTCTTAATGTTCTCTCCTTCATTCATTTTGTAATGGATAATCAATATTAGTATTAAGAACTTTTCCCTGAAAACGATGGTCATCGAAGCTAGGGGTGAACTACACAGTTCGTCCGTCCCTGCTTCAGCCGAGAGTGAGCTTTGCAATTTCAACATTGTTCATCATTCCCTTCATTTTTTTTTTCAGATTTTCCAAAAGTTCGGTTTCCATGAAGCCTATTTCAAGGCTTCTGTTTTCTCACTACAAAAGGGTTATGGACGGAATCTTACATTTGTTGGAAAGGTCTTGCATCATACTAAAAATATCAATGACGATCCGACCAAACAAGGTTTTTGGTGTGCCTGATTCTTACAAGAAAATTGGCATGTTAATCACAAACTAAATAAACATTTGTGTGCTCTTTCTCATGCATAATCATAAGTCACCATATAACCGAATAGATTGTTCTTTTATTCTCTTTACTCATTCCCATTCAAGATCTAAAAATAATCCAATATAGAATCTACAAAAGATAAAAGTCCCTTTGGAAAGGGTAAATGGAACATTCCAATTCTGAAGAAGTTGCAAAGCAGTCTTTGGTATATTCAAGTTAAAGCATTGATCAAAAGCTGAACCATATTAAACAGAAACCAGCTGTTCATACATTACATAAGATGAATAACAAAAAATGGAACTCAAGAAGCTTTTGTCGAGTATTTAAGGACAAGTGGAATTTACTGAAAATGACTTATTATGCTCTGGAGGAAATATAAGGCAATCCGCTGAACACAACATTCTGCAAATCCTACTAGTTACTCATCAATTGACAAATACTAGCAGACGTAGTATATAAATCATGGCTCAAATTAGGAAGATGGATTGCCAAGTAAAGATCAAGTCCCAGCTGATAAGTTCTATGATGACATCAAGAACAAAGCCCATCTGATGCCAAAAAAGTCCAGTCAAGTAATAACAGATATAAAACTTCTTGAGGGTGACTGGAACTCTCTTGGCGCTGTAAGGCTGTGGTCTTAAGTTACCGGAGGTAAGGCATCAAATATATGGCCTTCTTCATAACACAATTACATATAAACAAACTTTCCATTTTTGTTTCTGCCCCTTTTTTTTTATGTTTCACTGGTTGGATTAAAATGGACGTTAGCTCTATCTCTTCTTTTTCTCTTCCAATTGTATTTTTATTCTTTTTTGGAGCATATGATTTCAAGCTCCAAAATAGAAATTAGTTTTCCCTTGTCTATAAATCCCAGTCTGTCTTTCTATTCTAAAATTTGAAATTGAGACTTTTAATTTGGAATTTCAAATTATTAACTATTATGGTGTTCCCTCTATTCAAAATTTTGTTTTAGCAACGATCTTTTTAATGTTGAAATTTTGTAGCATACAAAATATTATGTTTGAAATAAACTGTTATAAACTATAATATTTCTCAATAAGAATATGAACATAGAAATATTAAAATTATTTATAGCATACAAAATATTACAATAAAAGTCTTATTGTAAAAAACTTCTTTTAGCTTGGTGAAATGACTAATCAATGGTAATGCTCTGTTGCTTTCTTCTAGGTAAGTCTGAAACTGTTAAGGGGATCTTGGAAATAATGGACGACAAAAACAAGACAATTGCTCACGGATTGGTGGAGGTTGACGTCGTGAATTCCTACAAGAACAGGCAGTCCAGCGTTAACGTCACGCCAATGGGTGAGGGAAGCTTGGTGAAATGGACCATGGTATTTGAAAAGCAAAACGAGAACATCCCTGATCCTGTCGATTAGTATGCCGACTTCTTGACCATTTTGACCAAGAATGTCGATGCTTACCTTCTTAACGCCTAATTAAGTAATTAAGACAAGACATATATCAGAAATTGATGGCATATTTGTCATTGTAACATAAATAAAATCATCATAAAAGCTATTGAATTTGTAAAATAAATTCGCTTCCTCAGCTTGATCGTGAAGTATGTGTATAATGGGCATATATTCTCCCCGCACTGGAATACCGTTTGACGCCAATAACCACGCTTTGGTGGCCATCACCAAACGGGGCCATAGACACATGCATGGTTATCCTATACTTGGTAATTTCGTGGGTAGATTACAAGCCTGGACTTTAACATGTAACGTAATTCAAATTAGTTTCATCACAATTGAGAAAAATTCGAAAAAAGAAATTAACAAAAAGAGCCAAATCGACTGAAGAAAAGACTAATTTAAGCTTTGGTGAACTTCCTGTCAACTACTTTCTTAAGGAATTAATTACTGCCTTCTTCAAGCACCATTTGGACAAGCAAGAATCCTATTCCATCAGCCATGGCTAGCAGCATTTGCTTGTCTCTGCCTTGCACTCCTCCAAATTAATCTACCATCCCATTGGAGTTAGGGTCAAACTGCCCCAACAAAGAATTATACACATAAGAAAGCTCCTCCTGGTCTGTCTTAACATTGATGTCAAAGTGGGTTTCAAAGCCCTCAAACTCTGCAACTCATTCAACATCTTTCGAAATCAAACTCTAATTAGGCCGATAAATGTGGCTAGCTTGACATGTGGTGTAATTTCATTGATGGGCACCAAACAGGGTACAAATTGTGGGCAGAGGATTTCCGTTCTCGAGGGGGTATATAGGATTATCTTAGCTTAGAGAATTTTGTCAATAACGTCTAGTGTAATACTCGTGGGTTATAATATGCATATGCGATTTGTCTCTTACCAAATAAATTACCAAATAAAGAAAAAGCAATCTTCCATGCTTTCGCTTCCTTTCTCTTTTATCTCTTTACCAAACAAAGTGAAAGTTCAAATCTTTTTCCTCGTATATCTGGGGCGGAGTTATAGCCTCCGTTGAAAATAAAATTAAAAAAAAAATCTAAAATCACTTATGTTTTATATAACTAAAATTTTTTTTGAAATCACATATGTTTTACATAAAATTCAAAGAACTTTCATGGATCCAATTTATTTGTTTTTGAGATTAGCATTGATTCTATTAGTTATGACTGTTACATTAGAAAAAAAAATTTATAATAAATATTTTTGAAAATTCATTTGTATAATCGAATGAAAAACTAATGGTTAAATGATAGCTTAATTTTGTATATTAAAAACGATGTGTTCAAAAAGATTGATATTGTACCATATTTTCAAAATAAGAAATCAAGTCAAAGACAATTGTAAAATTTTTAACAATTATAATTAGATTTAAAAGTTTTAATTTTTTATTGCTATTATGATATTATTGTTGTTGTTTTTTTTTTTTTTTAAATTTAATATATTTAAACTAAGCCCTATTAGAAAGAATTTCTGACTCCGCTGCAAAATAAAATCATTTTCATCAATTTCCATTTGTCCTAATTAAATTCTCAACAAAAGTTTCTTGAGGTCCATTTCGTTATTCCATGCAACGTATGAACTCTGGTTTTCGTTTTGTTTTTCCTTTAGGTCATTGCTTTGACTTTACACGAAACTAAAGAGCAACTTTTTTGTTTTTACTGGTATTGGAATGTTCCATTTTGCTTTTCCAAAGGGACTCTATCTTCTTTAGATTCTATTAATTGGATTATTTTTAGATATTGAATGGGAATGAGTGGGTAGAGGAAAGTAAAGGGAATTAAAGAGCACAGTCCATTTTGGCCAAAATATAAACACAATCCATTTGGCTTGCGATTATTCTACTAATTCTTTCATGAAAGAAGACATAAAAATTATATTTATATAGAATTTATATTTGACGTATTATTAATGTATTAATTTTATTCATATTCAATAAATTATATGATATCAAATTATTAATGAAAAAGTATTTTTTTTTATTTTAAAATTTTGTGCATTTTTTAAAAATAAAATTTTTATTAAATTAATGTGATTAAGTAGTTGATTCATAAAAATTTATTTCATTCATATAATACATACATATATATAAATATTTATATATATATTGGCAATTCAATTTTTACATGTCGAGTATAATCAGGAGTTTTGGATCGATGTAATTGAGATTTTCTGGGTTCATGTTTCTGGTTTTATGTAATTTCGAAGGTTGCAAAAAAGATTGTTTTAGAAACAGAGGTGGCAAATATGGGTAAGAAAAGAGAGAAAAGGCATTGGGTGGTTAGCTCAACTGTATCAGATATGTATTAGGTTCATATATATGCTACTATTTTGAGGAAGTTCAGCTGAGATGTGTGAAGCGCATGGCGAAGCAGTTCAAACCGCTAAAATTCAAAGAGAAATCATCAATGGATTAGTGATCAACCCCATTCTTGCTAATAATCCCTAGCAAAATAGGAGTTCCAAGCCCATTGGATATTCCACTAATGAAATTCTTTAATTTAAGATAAACCACACTCTAATTAAGATAAACCACATCAAGAGATAAGAAGTTCAATTCATCAACCAATAATATTCAAAAGCTAATACAATATCAAAAAATACAACTTTACTATGCTCCACAAGAAAACAAACATATCGCATCCAGAATCTAATTCATAGGATTGGCTATAGAGCTGAGACCACATTAATGTTTTATCGAGTCGTCATGGCCGGTTACAATCATATTATGTACGAAAAAAAATTGGGTGAAGGTGAAATTCATCAAATTTTTTATTAAAAATAAATTAATAAAAATTGATAAAAAAATTAATAATATATAAACAATTTTTAAAAATATTATTTATAATTTTAATTTAATTAATATTTATTTAATGATAAAAATTTTTAAAATATTTTTATTAAAAATATTTATTTAATAAATATATTAAAATTTTTTAAAAATTTATATATTTGATATACGTTATAAGATTTTTTAATATATCAATTTTAATTTTAATTTTTTTTTTTTATAAAAAATTTCACAAACTTCATCCGTAAAATTTCATGTAAGTTTTTTCTCTTATATATTCATCTATATATAACCTAAACCGCTCAACGCAACATTAATTCTGCAAGTCCTATTAGTTGCTCATCAATTGTAGTTTCTTGGTTTCATAGCTAGCAACAACGTCTAAAGTATGGCTCAAATTAGGAAGATGGATTTCCAAGTTGAGATCAAGTCCTCAGCTGATAAGTTCTATGATGTCTTCAGGAACAAAGTCCAACTGATGCCAAAGATGTCCAATCATGTAATAACTGATGTAAAACTTCTTCAGGGTGACTGGGACTGCCAGGGCGCTGTCAGGCTGTGGTCTTATGTTGTTGAAGGTAATTAAGTCGCCTCCATCTCACAAACACATAATATAAACAAACTTTCCATTTTGCTTTTACTCCTCTTTCCTTTTTCTCAGTTCACTGGTTGGGTTAAAATGGACCCTAACTCTGAAATGGAATATATGATTCTTTTTCTATGGACCTTAACCCTATCCCAAAATTCGAAGCAAAAATCTTCAAGATAATTACGTCCCAAATTCTAACTCGAGAGATGTCTATTAAAAAATTGTCATAAAAACAAATAAAAAGAAAAAGAAGCTCTATAACTAAGTAATACTGCTCTGTTGCTCTGTTCTAGGTAAGCCTGAGACTGCTAAGGAGATTTTGGAAACCGTGGACGATAAAAACATGACACTTGTTTTCAAAGCGGTGGAGGGTGAAATCATGAATTCCTACAAGAGCTGGAAGACCATCCTGAACGTCACGCCAATGTGTGAGAGAGGCTTGGTGAAATGGACCCTGGAATTTGAACAGCAAAACGAGGACATCCCTGATCCTGTCAAGTACGCCGTCTTCTTGACCATCTGGACCAAGAATATCGACGCTTTCCTTTGCAACACCTAATGAAGTAATTAAGAAAATATTATAAATAAAAAGCATAATGAAAGCTCTTAAATATGTAAAATAACGTCGCTCACTCTGTCACGAGAAAGCATGATCGTGAAGTTTGTGTATTATTGTTCACGATTAAAATTATAATATGTACTATGCTTTATCATCAGCTGGGAGTTTTCTCCTGTGCCATGGTAAAATAAAATCTTTATTCCTTAATAAGGATATTTTAAATCTTGTTTCTCTATGATATACTTCATGCCATGTTATCGTTTTATTATTATTATTATTATTTATCTGAAATTTTTTAATGTCTAATAATAATTTTAAATCTCGATTAATTTAGAATTGAGTTAAGTCAGATATCATAAGAAAAAGAAAGTAAACTTTTTCAGCACTTATCTTTTTCATTTACAAGATTTAAAATGAAAACATTATTTAAGAAGAATCGAGCTCTTTAATTACTTGGATCAATAGGTGTTGGTTATTATTTTTTATCTCTTCATTGTCAATGTTTCTCATCTTTCCACTGACCAGTTCGATATGGTAATTCAGAACTTCCTTGTAGCTAAATTGCTTTGCTTCTTGATGGCAGGCCGATCAAAGTCACCGACAAGCAATTAAACTACGAAAATTCTTCCTCCTTCCTCCTCTGTTTCCATTCTGAAAAGCGGCTAAACAATACAAATTTTTAATCGGCAAAAAAAAAACAACGAAAATTATCTATTCACAAAGCATCTTCCATTTCGTTTGTTAGTTTATAACTTTATACACGTTACTTTATTCCTCTCAATCAAAATTCAAGAAAAAACCCCAACTACCTCTGGCTTTTTCTTAGCCAAGAATTGCAGCTAGGGAACAGTTGATGGTGATGCCTGCTAGGTATGGTTTTCTCTTTAGCCTTTGCATTTGTTGTTTATTTTGCTCCGGTGGATAATAATTGCCAAATAAATTTAGAAAGGGAATTATAGTTGATGTTATTTTAAATGTTGTTTGTGTGAACCGACCTTTCATTAATCGAAAGCAATGCACAACTTTGAACAGCTTCACATTCATGAACCTGTGTACACCTGCTAAAAGTGGAATGGGAATTTCACTTGATTTGCTTTGTGACAATATGAAAATTGTGTGATTAAGTGGGGTTCTACAGGCATTGTGTTAGGCAGTTTTGAAGTCTGGGGTTGTGGAGTTATTCTGACAGAGTGACAGTAGTGTTGCGGGTAGGCAGTTCAAGAGAACTTCAAAGACTATATGATGAGACTGTTGAGTCAGCTGATTGCTGTTGGTTGGATCGCTATGCAGTACTTGAGAAGACTGTTAAGTAGACGTTCTGCTTTATTACTCCCACGTTTAGACCCTTGTTTTCAAATTTTGTTTATACGTTGATAGATTACATTTGTGTTGTTCATCTTAATTAAAATATAATTTCAACATTTTTTTATTATTTTATTATATAAAATAAGTCTTTAATATTCTTTACCTTTCTTTGCTCTACAGTTCAACTCCAAAGTGTAACCCCAATCAAAATTTGCAGAGCTTCGTTTAAGTTTGCTTTCTAAATAGAAAACGAGGAGTGAATTAACATTGCTAAAAAGGACACGATTTAAAAGTCTTTTTTTTTTTTTTTGAATTTCCATTTTTTATGAATGATTTTCATTTTTGTTATAGAGAGAGATGAGCAACACTGACAATGAAAACAAAAAAAAAAAAAAAATCAAAATGATTATGTGTCATAAAATACCTTTAGTAAGGAAATAAGATTAAAAATGCTTGTATTAGGGAATAAAGAAACTCCATCAGTTGGACCTTTTGTTCATATAAATAAATACATAAACATATATATATATATATATGTGTGTGTGCGCGCGTGTGTGTTCATATAAATCTTACTTTTTGAAATTTATGATCCGGATTAATTCTTTTTCATGCAAGGAAACTTTTAATATGTAAATAAAGCATAGCTTATTACTTTTTTACACTTTTTCCATATAGTTTTTTCAAAATGTCTGTTTTGTATGTGTCGACCCTCATTATAAAATTTCTAGTTTTGCCTTTAAGCCAATTTTTTTGTGTTAATTTGTTTACTGTTTACCCAATGTATATAAATTTCTCTTTTACCATTTAACTTGAAGCAGAATTTTTTTTTTTTTTGTTTCTGCACATATTTTTATCTTATTAATTCCCATAATAGCGATGAAGAGTGACAAAAGACATCCTTTAATGATGGAAAAAGTTTGAAATGAACCGAAAATGTGAGTCAGAATTGATAACAGAGTAAGCAAAACTAGAAGTCGGTGAGATTTTTTTGCAGATAATGCAGGGGAATGATCAAGAAAACCACTAGAATAAAGTTGATAAGAATAATTCATAAAGCTTGATGGCATGTTATGCAATATTCTCAGTTACTACTTTCCAACCCTTTATCCTTTATTCTTTTTTCTGCTCTTTTATATCTTCGAACCTTCCTATAAAAGGCTAATTGGTAAGCACAACATTCTGCAGGCAGGTCGTATTGGATTGGTTATACTCTTAGATAGCTAGTAATTGGTTCCTTAGGAGACAAAAACAATGGCACAAATTGCAAAGATGGAGGTCCAAACAGAGATCAAGTCCCCAGCAGACAAGTTCTATGACATCTTCAGGTCCAAAATGCACCTCATGCCGAAGATCTGCCCTCAGGAATTTAAGGACGGAAAGCTTGTTGATGGTGACTGGAAGAGTGTGGGCTCTGTCAGAGAATGGTGTTATGCTGTTGCAGGTAATTAAGTAACAATCATTTAATTTCTTCTTCTGCATTTTAATAGTCACCCAGAAATCGAGGTAATATATCACACCAGAACGAGGGGTTCAATAAATAATAAATAGTACTACCATTTATGACATTTTTCATTGCATTTTCTCTAATAAATTTATGGACTTGAAATAAAATTTTAATTACTTAAACATGAAATAAACCTGCAGCAGCTAGATAGTCGTGAGGTTTGTTACTCTTGCAGGTAATACTGAGACTATTAAGGAAAGCATTGAAGCCATTAACGATGAAAGCAAGACCATCACTTTCAATATGCTGGATGGAGATGTGATGAAATACTACAATACTTTCAAGCCGATTCTTAATGTCACAGCATTGGGTCAGGGATGCTTGGTGAAATGGACTTTGGAATACGAAAAGAAAAACGAAAGCATCCCTGCTCCTATCAAGTACAATGACTTTTTAGTCAGTTGGAGCAAGAATATTGATGCTTACCTTCTGAACGCCTAAAAACAGCCATATATATATATATGTGTGTGTGTGTGTGTCTCTCTCTCTGTGTCTCTGTGTGTATTAAATAAAAGCTGAATTTCAAAACTAGCCAGCGATCGATCTATGTATATCAATGGAAAATAAATTATATATCTATGGAAAATTAATTCACTCTATGTATCACTCCCTCTCATCTGTTAATTTCTCCTTATTTCATAACTACAGAAGTGAATTTCCGCGTTCAAAATAATTAAGAGACTGAGACCAGATATTAAAGTGACAACATTGAGAGTGTGTTATCGCTTTTATCTTTTAAAACATATATATATATATATATATATATATGTATATGTTTCAGAATGCAGTATTTGGCAATTATATCATACTAATTCACAAGAATTTTTGAAAATGATGATCTCCAAATTATACCATTAGATATATTTATCTTAAAGCTATTCACCTCTATAAATATCATCTTTCAATTTTCTTTCAAAAATAATTGTTATACGAAGTAATTTATCTCATATTTTGTACAATATATAGAGGATTTTGAACAAATTAAACCTATACAAAAAGTGCTTATTAAAGATAAAATTTTGTGGCAGCGAGGCTCAATATTTGACCAAAAGAACACAATAACTTTCAAGTTGGATTGAATCATTGCGGCTTCATTATTATTATTTTTTCTCTTCATAAATCAAGAAGCGAAGAGAACTTTTCTTTTCTTTTTTTGGGAAGGCAGATTATATTAATGAAGCAAAAGGAGAAGTATAGAGTTCATGTAGGAGCGTCAGGAAACCCAGAGCAAACAGAGCAATAAATGGAAAAACAACAAAATGAAATTAAAAAAAAAAGCAAATAGTTATTGGGATCTTTGCGCACCATTCTTGGCTAACAGAGCTCTTATATTTAATTAATAATATCATAGAATTCAGTAAAAAAATTAATTCGGGATTTCCCATAAAAGAAAGAAAAACTGTTAATACATTCTTTCTACAAAATCAATCTTGTATTTAATAAATACCTATAGCTATGATGCATGTCAACTAATGCTTCTGTTTTTGTTTGTGTTGTGATGTGTATGTTATATACATAAACACACATATAAATAGGGGTTAATTTTCCGTATGTCAAAGAAACAATTATACATAAATAGAGCATCAATCTATAAATAACTTTTAGATTATTAGATTGATAACTTTAGGTCAATATTCTTCCCTTGTGGAAGGTTTTTTTTTTTTTCTCAACCGATAATATTATTTAATTGAAGAAAAGAGACAGAACAGTAAGCTTCCTCCTAACAGGAAAGGAAAGCTTTGAAACATTACATCTCCCAATCTTGTTTTCCAAGTCCAAACCACCGAATAGCAATCATATTCATAGCCAGTCATGAAATAAAACAGAGGAGACAACATCCATTTTTGCCAAGGAGTCAGCAAAAGAGTTAGCTTCCCTGTAAATATGAACAAAATCCACCTCTCTAATAATTTCTCCAAGCCTATCAATCTCAACAAATACTTTCCATTCATTCCAAGGCCAAGAGTCCTTATTTAGCACGGAATTGATAGCCTCCTTAAGAGTCTTATTCTATAATTAAAGCCTGTTGTTTGCATCATGAAGAGGAGGAAAATACCTCCAAAGCTGTTTTTGATGGCCAATATTTCAGCAGAATTGCATATTTGCATTCTTGTTCCCCAAGAGGACCGTAAAATAAACTTCTGATATTCCCTGTCAATCGCTTAGCACCCCACTGAAACCCGCTGGACCAGGTTTGCCCCTAGCGGATCCATCCACATTGAACTTTAAGACATTAACACATGGGCATACCCACTTTATACGTTGTGGAAGGGTTGCATCTTTATAAACCATGGTGTTTGATTTTTCTATATCCCTTCATTTTTATTGCTACTTTCTCATCCACAAACATTTCAAAATTTTGGAATTAATCCAATTCACTTCACCTCTTGAATTGTCTATCTACCATATTAAACTACCAATGGTACGTAATACGAGTTTTTTTTTTTTTTCTAAGCGATGGTAATACAAGCTATCATTCAACCTTTTGTTTTTCTTTTGTCATTCAAAACTTGGTCGTGTATTTTTTTTTAAATAACAAAACTTATCAGCTAATGATATTTCTGTTAATCGATCTCTTTATAGTAATAGGTATCTTGATAATTCTTTCTCATCTTCATTTTTTTTTAGAAGCTATGATTGTATATTTTAAATTTTTTGTCTTACTTTTAGACAAATAAAATAACATTCATTTATTAAAAAAACTATATATTTTGTATCTTTTGTATTATTTTAAAGGGTCTATCAATTGTTTAACTTCTCTTTACAAAGATGATATGAAGATAGGAGAAAAAGTGTTAAATATTGAAATTTAAATTTTAAATTTATTAAATATTAACTTCTAAAAGTGGAGTTCATATTGGTACTTCAGTCTTATTTAATCCATTTTTTTTATAAAGTTGCACTTTAATCTCGGTTTTAAATGAATTAATGATTCACCTCTATTGATTAATCCATTTTTAGTTCCCAAAGCCCAATATATTAACACAGTATGAGATAAACTAAACCTAATATGGCATGAGATCCTAACAACTCTATGCACCGCCTCATAACAATAAATTAATGTGCTGCAATGATCCTAAATTCCCAACTAGGACTGGAAAGATTTTTATTTCCTACTATGTAGGGGATTTTCTTCGTTTACCAAAATCTCTAAAAAGATTAAAAATTTTTTGAACAGTGAAATTTTTTTTGGTGTAAAAGAGGCAACAAAGAAAAGGAAATGGCTTGTAAATATTGCGATTTAAACCCCATTTTTTGTTGGATGCATGAATCAACTAATTTTTCTTTATTGTTAATATGTTAATTTGATTTTTCCCAAATTATGCCTTCAACCAAGTTAAACAGTTGATTTATCCATTTAATCAATAAAATCTCCAACGCCACTTTTCAAATTCTTTGATAACTGATTGTTTCCACAAGGATTAATATCATTTGGTTCATCCTTTTTGCCTCTCAGTTAATCAATAAATTTGTATATACTTTAATTATTTAACAAAAATATTTTCTTAAATTGTAACACTCATCAGCAATAACTATAACATAATAATTTTGTCCCAACTCATTAGAAGAAGATACTAATCATCATGTTCTGTTCACATGTCCTTTGGGTGTTTCGATTTTGGCCTGGCTTCTTGATTTGGTGGAATTTGAAATGGGATGTCAACCACCATCCCTGTACCTCTGTATTTTGAATTATTTTGAGGCCCCATTTGGGGGAATCTTGAATCATCTGCTGCAGCTTTCAGGTCCTTGTGGCTGGCAAGAAATTTTTTTTGCTAAGCCAAATTTCATTAGAGAAAAATGAGGTAATCCTCACAAAACATGCTTCATAGTTCCATAACATATCACCTCAAATCCAAACAAATAGAAAAAAAAAAAATCAGAAAACCGATAGCTTAGACACACAGGCACCAGCACTAAGATTATCATGCCACTGCTTTACTCCTAGAAACACCTTGCATTAAGAATTCATCCCTTTCAACTCTTGCATTGGCCAATGCACCTGTCATCTCATTAGATTCCCTAGGAACATCAGACCACTTTACTTCGCCTAGTTTCCTCACCAACCTATCGATTTCCAATAAAACGTCCCAAACCTTCCAAGGTCTACACGTCCTATTCTTACACCAATTGATTGCCACCATATGATCAGTTTTTATAATAACATTCACACATCCAGCCCTACTAGCTTTCACAATAAGACCTTCAATGCATGTTTAATGCCAAATAACTCTGCAACCTTTGCATCTTGGTGCTGTAAAAGACCTGAAAACAGGGCAGTAATGCAACCTTTTAAGCCTCTAAACCCCCCATCCTGTCGACCCAGGTATTCCTTTTTCTTATCCATCTACACTGAACTTAAGGCAACCAAAAATAGGGAAAGACCGGCACGAGAGGGATCTTAAAGTCTTATTATACCTGGGAAGTGTACAACCTAGAGGAACCATCCACCACAAGGAATCTGAAAAAGGAAAAAATTAGTCTTCCTTTATAGCCTTAGTCCAGGACATGGGTCGAAGCTTTACCAAGAAAATAAAATCGACTACCTTCAATTTCTTACAAAAAACATTTTCCGTTCTAGCTAACCATAGGGACCAAAAGCAGAAGTATATTAAGCCAGCCACCATTTTTTTTAATAACACCAGAGAAATGGGATTCCCAACAGATAAGCATGCCTTTCCTCTCTGAACTGTCCCTATACTAGCATTAAAATAACCTGCTAGTCACCAACAGCACCCAATCTCCCCTTTATTTTTTAAACTATTCTCCCAAATCGCTAATAATCCACCCAAATGACCTATAGAAGTAGCAAATAACCAGACAAAATTCCCATTCCCCCAAATGTTCAAGATCTGACTCTCCTTGATTACCACATTCATAGTTTCCCGGTTAAGCATCATCTCCACCTTATTTTTTTTAACATCATCTTCAATGTAAAGAAATTAAAGAGTCATGTCAATTTTTTGAGAAGAAGAGATGGACAGTGGAAGAGCAGTCGTTATTGGTAAAACTCAGGTCTGTGTTTTGGATAAAGGCGATAAATGAGGATAGATTGTTCTCGGATTCTTGTGGAGGGTCGAACTAGTGGCATGTGTTCTTTCTTTATCTAGAAAAGCAAAAGACCTATCACAACTTGGTCACCTCCTGAGATAGGATTTTAAAGTTTGATGTGGATGGATCTGATAAAAGTAAACTTGGACGATCTAGTTTGTGGTGGCGTGTTGAAAGATTCTGACTGCTACGTACTAGCTTATTCTCTAGCCATTGGCAATGCAAGAGTCAAATGTTACTGAGCTCTTCTTTGTCTGTCTTTTTTTTTTTTTTTAATTTTTTTGAAGGATTTCCACCTTAAAAAAAGAACAAAAAAGACACCAAAATACACTCTTCCATTGTTTGTAAACAAACATTTAGAGCAGGTACCACCGCCTTTATCAGAAATCACCACCATGCCATGA